GCTTACCTCTATTACCCTCTACCTCCTCCATGCTGGCTACAGGAGACCGTTCGTCGTTGCTGGAGGGACGGCGTGCACGGTCCTCGTGGCCGTGCTAATCTCCAAGTGGTTCCACGCACTCAGGGTGGAGCGGACTACGGTCCAGCCACCGCTTTGTGTGCGCTTGATTCCCTAACTATAGCGTGCTTGTGTTTGTCTGTGAAGGAGTGTAGGCCGGCTCCGTTGATGGAACGTGGCTCCCATCCACATGCCTCCCGGTCTTGTTCCTTCAGGTTTACCCTGGATATAGGGGTGTGTGGATGGAGCTGTGGGTGGTGCAGCGCAAGCCACCCATGATCCCTCTGTAGTCGAAAGCGTCCCGTGGCGCAGCGCTATTAGCGTGTCGAGAGGTAGGCCCTTGTTCCCAAGGATGCGACGCCTAACATCGGCGTTGCTAACATGGTTTTCCCCACAACACACGAAGTATCTTGCTCAGCCAACTGTTATCTCAGGCCGAATTCCGACGCAAATCATTTTCACGGATCTACCAGGACTCGCTTCCATGCAACAGGACTGCGCGAACACAGACATTGTAGATCTTACCCTTTACCGAGAGTGGCACGTCACGACGACGCCACAAATGCCTCAGATCAACGAAAGCTGATCGGACTTTGGCAATACGGAGAGAAATCTCTTAACCGATGGCGCCATCAGAAGAAACGCAGCTCCCAAGTTAGATGAAGCTATCCACTTGCGAAAGCTGCGTTTTCAAGAATCAGCGCGGTGCAGCTGGACGCTAATCCTGGAGTAAGAACTTTCATGTCGACGGAGTGAAGATCATACCGTACTCTGTATCTTTACTCGCCAAGCGATTTAGCATGATCTACTTACTGTGTGAGTCGTCACCCAGCAAGTCAATATCCTCAGCATAGACTAAGTCAGTCCTGTGGTTATCTGGAAAAAGCTCTACGCCAGAACCCTGGAGACCTTCCAGTGTGCCTAATAGGATCTCCTCAATCGTAAAGTTGAAGAGAAGCGGGGACATGGAGCATCCCTTTTTCACACCGCTAGTGACGGCAGAAGGTGAAGAGAGCTTACGGTAAGCTATCACTCTGCCAGACATTGTTATATAAAGCTCGAAGTATGGAAGTCTTCTTTTCAGGTAACCCATTCTTTTCCAAACAGTATTATCGAACAGGCCGATCGACCTAGTGGAACACAGCTCGGATGCTCAAAAATGCGACAGTTGTAGGCTGGCGATAAAGGTGGCGCTCCTGGAGGAGTCGGCAGAGCGTAAACATGTGGTTCAGACACCCTCAACCGGGGCTAGACCAGCCTGTTTTTCACGGGAGTGTAGTTCCCGAATCGGTCTTAGCCTCTGCAGTAGGATGGATGTTATTCATTTTGGGGCGACGGATATTACACTGCTTCGTCTGTGGTTGGCACATTAGGTACGAGCACCCTTTTTGAAGATGGGTACGATAATCAACTCGCCTCAAGAGCATGGGACCTTTTCTTCACATCAGATCTTTGAGAAGAGAGCTGTTAACTGGTTGCCGATCGCCTCTCCACCATATTTTGACAGATCCGGAGGAAGTCCATCTGAGCCAGCAGCTTTTAATCTCATCAAGTGACGAAGGTCAGGCGAGATCACTTCTTCAGTTGGTGGTTCCAGCGAAACGTCCTAAGGCACCCATTCAGGCATACTTGTTAGATGGGGGGAAGGAGAACGCCAACTGGATTGAGAGTAGAAGTGCTCAGTTAAGCGTTCCATGCATTTATGTAGATTGGGGATTCATCAGCCTCGCAAATAGCTTCACTGATACCAGCTCTTCCTTGGCCAGTGGTCCGAAGATCTGGAGGAGCTTACGTAAATTTTCAGAGAGAACTTCCGTTTACATTTCTGAAGCGCGCTGAGACTACCAAATTTCACGATTGTTGCGCATTCTTTCTGAGTTTTTGGCTGAGGTTGCAGCGGACTTCACAGATGTTGCCCATTGATTCCACACTATAATTGGCCGGAAGAAAGCAACGCTTTGTGCAAGCAACTCCAATGATGTTCGACGTCTTTAGATGAAGCGTTCGCGAATGTGTATTTTAAGGAGGTTTGAATGGAGGGGTTAGCTATCCTGTTGGCATTCAGCGTACTATGCTTTGGTTTCGAGGAATTACCAAAGCGTATGCAGATGTTCGCGTAGACCAGAGGGTGATTTGGATCTGGTTACATGGACCTAATCGATCTATCTAGTGAAACCGCTGATGACGCTTGCAGACTTGTACATGGTACTCTGGATGTCTGTCCATTGCGCCTCAACATCCGGGAGTGTCGGTCTATCAAGTTCTGTAAGGTAATGAGAATGTTTGTAGCGGTAAGTTTGGCTACGTCAAGCCGTTTTCAAAGTCACTATTGAGCTGCTCTAGCACACAAGAGCGTGGTCAGAGGTAAGTTAAGTACTCCAGTTGCTTCGCAGTTGCCGTACAGCCTCGCCCTCGGTACTTAATGGTGATATGATCAATCTGCGTCCGCGACTGTATGGGGTCTGCCAGGTGACGCGCTTGCACCAGTAGCGCCGAAAGTTTGTGCTCGAGAGCAATGACCCGCGATCAGCAAAGAGCCGTTTAAGGCGATCTACCTTATCCGTCCTGTGAGTGTAATGGCTATTCATTCCACCATAGTCTTGTTCATCACTTTCTAGTCTATCGACCTGTACCTTTAAGTCCCCAACGATCACCACCATATCCATGCGGCGTTTCTTATGGTGATCGTAATGTTGACGGTAGAACTCACCTCATCTGAGGTCGGACTGCAGTCCCTGGGAGCATACGCCGCTACGACAAATAAACAGCGTTTGGTATCTGCGCGACTGGACAAACGTACGGAGATTTATAGCCAAATGTGTTTAATCGGCTATTGCCTGAGATGCAGTCAAGTAACGCCTTTTTGCACACGCTTTTAACGCAATTCCCACACCAACCATTCCCACAGCTTCAGCAATTGCGTTTCAGATCAGCGTAGTGTAAATGTACCGTGGGAGCAAACAGAAGCTGACGTCAGTCGTAGCGTTGTGCGGAGATCATATGAGCGATTCAGCGAGCAAATAATATATATCGATAACGAGGGTTTCCGGAGTGAGAGCAAAAGCTACGCGCGATCCCATTTACATAAACGTCCAGGCATTGAACGCGGTTGATTTGGGTTGGGAACGAGACGATAAAAAATGCCCTGCGTTGACTATTGTGTGGTACACAGACGCGGTTAGAACTGTCCCTCATGGGGGCACGTTGACTGATACTCCAAATTGAAGGGCTTCTCAAGAATGGATGAATTCAACAAGCGTAGAACAAAACATGTAGCATGTGGTGCGGTAGAGCATGGTATAGCAGTGCCGGCCGCTAACACTTCGGTCGAGGAAAACGAAGGCAGCGAGCGTAGATAAACAGCAGTTACGTAGGTTCGTGTTCCTTTTCACGTGTTGTGTGGGCATACAGGTTTCCGGTTGCCGAGGCCGAGGAAGGGGGCTGAATTAGGGCACCCCAACCAGAGTCTTAGGTCGTAAAGACCTGTCCCGTTAGGCAGCGGAGGGATTAACACATATCGCAAACTGTTGGGAGCTGGTGGCTTTCGACTAGTAACAAACTACTCAGTGCACCCGGACAGTCCCAGTATAGCAACACCGAGCTCAGAAAACGTTCCCCAAAATGCCCATCTGGCCTCTGAATATAAAGACCGTTGACAACCAGGTCTCATTCGCCTTCCTAGTGTTCAGTAGCAATCCGCATAGAAACTGGAGGCCAGTAAACTTGTTCATCCTGCGTCCATTACGTACTCCCTTCTAGTTATAGGAGTGAGTGGCCTGCGACACTATAACCGGTCACATTGGCTTTTACACAGCGGCGTACAAGTTCTTGTGGTGTTTAATGGAAAACCAGGTGACCAGACCAGGACTCCCAACGCTCTGAGACGCTGTTGCTGATTTACTTTGACTGCTTATTCGTCTCGCTTGCAAAGCAAACGTGACTTGTTCACAGTTACCTCCACAAGGAGGACTATCCCTATTTCGTAACCTAGGGACGCACCCAATAGCGTATAGTCCCACGACATGGCGGAACAAAACAAGAGGAATGCCGATTCTTGGAAACGCTTGAAGATGTGGTGCGCAACTGAAATCATAGACTGTGCATATTATTTTTATTAGATGCTACGGTCTTTGTAAATGACAAACATAAAAATAGACCTGAGCAAACGGTGTTATATTTTTACTAACTTTTGAGCTTCAGCATCTCCTTCATTTCCATGGTATTTGGCGCCCTTACATCTCTTTTTATCTTTTGCTTTGATATATTTATCTGAATGTACCCAGGCTTTTTCACCTAGCGCTGCTCGCACTATCTCTACGAACCCCTCATTCCAGCTATTGACGTCAGAACATCACGGCTCACGCCACTGCACTAGCAATACTTAGGGAGTGACGCGGCAACAGATTTAATAAAATAATGGGCAAGGGTATTATTGCGGGTTATTTTAGTCGTGTCGGGAGCTGCACAACATGATGAGGGCGATCGAATACTGTGGTATATTCAGTTTCGTGCAGCTAGTTGTCTTTATCAATCACCTATTTTTCTCTTATCTTGTTTTCGGCAATATCGTTCAGTAGACATTGTGTTTCACCCAACGTTCGGGGACTGAAGCAATAGGAGCAATTTCTTATACGGTAACTCGGTATTCAATGCCTTAAACAACCGAACGGAGATCTCCTTCTCACGAAAAAGCTCTTCCTTTCTCCTCTGCATATTGTCGGCAGCATCGTGCAATGAATTGTGTAATTACATGAGGTATTAGCAAAGTTGAACTTACGTCTATCGAACACACTCAGTGATTTTTCCTCGCAACTTCATGTCTTGATTCTTACAAGTTGCTCATTTGTAGCCTCGTTTTCTGTTATTCACTTCTCATGCCGCGATCCTTTATTGTTTTGATTGTGTCTATGACACAAGTTTTTATGAATCTTGTTCTCTTGTAGTTAAAATGCATGAAAAACGCGTGCACACCTCAGATCGTAAACGACACCGTCACAGGTCACGGGAGCACGCACGCTCCCCCTTTGACGACGACGAAGCAGCATCTCATCCAAAGGATAAAAGATCATCTCGCAAACGTAATCATCTTGACGACACACGTGGTTTGTGCTACGCTCTATTACCCACTTCCTATTCGATAGATCTCCCAAGCGCGCGTCATGAGGACGTCAATGAGGGCGGAGGTACCGGAGGCGAAATCTCATTGTCCATTAAAGAGTCAAAGTACGATTCCCTAATTTTGTTTAAACTTTTAGCGCTTTACGAGCCAAACTGGGGCTTCCTCTCTTGGAGCTTGATCAGCCACGTGCGGATGATGGCGACCGTGTCATAGACAATCAATCAGAGCGATATGTTCACTGTCCAGCAAAAGATTTAAAAAGAATCCGCGAAACCGAGTCTTTAAAGGAGAAAATCGAAACTCACAAAGAAAAACGCTCGCTATATGATAAGCTAGCCGCTGCCCGCTTATATGAGCCCGCCGAAAAAGAAACTCCTGCCAGTTCATGGGTTGAAAAAATTCGCGAGAAAGAACGTATTAAGAAACAAGCACAGGAGCGAGTAGGTTGTAGTGTTGTATCAAACGTTCCTCAACCCCCTAGGCCAAGCTAATTAGCGAAATGGATGAACAGTTGGAAGTAGAAGTACCCACCGAAGATATCTCAACGAGGGAGACCTACAGTTCTCGTGACCTCTCTGGTCTACGCGTTGAGCATAAAATTGACCATTTTGACGAAGGTCGATCGGTTATCCTAACCCTCAAGGATAAAGGTAAATCGCCGGCTCATTTTCACAAACTGTGTTGTGTTAGCTTATTTGCAGTTATTTCTATACGCCGATTTTCGATGCCTTCAGTTCCCATCACTCGAGTAGTCCATGTCAATAGAAATATGCTGTGTTTTGTCCTCGATTGCTTCCCCGCTCCACGGACTCTATTCGCTTTACCGTAGTTACTTTCATGCACCTGGTTTACTTGAACAAGGGCAAAACACACTTCCACTGGAATTGCTATGATGGTGTAATTTCACTGCGGTCCGTGACGAGTAGGCGTTGTGACTCGCGTGCTACTTATGCCGCTTGCTCAACCCTCATTGATTTCTGTGTCGAGCACAGTTTAGTCTACCGGTTTGTTTGTACCAGATCAGTTTGTATCATGTTTGCAATTCCGTGCAAACAGTGGATAAATTCCTCGAATTTTCATGTAATTTGTTTTGATGGAAGCGTGGTATTTATTTTTGCTTGACCATTATTTTCGGAGTGCCTACAACTTTCACTTCTACATCCACGACGAATAGACCGAATGCACTACGATATAGCGGAATGTATCTATCCGTTAGCATTGGCTGTTGCGAGGTTCGTATCTCTGTGAGGACAACAAGCGTTGCTTGCACTCAGTTTTCTACATTCCTGCCCATCGACTGCCCATCCTGGAACCTCACTTGACAAAGTGCACTTTCGATACATAGCACACACCTGTCTGAGCATTTCTAGTTCAGCTCTGCTTTAGGATGGCACTTATAACTTTTGATTCCCACTCCATTAATTTTGTTCTCCTACATTTCTTTGCCATCTTCCAAGCTACCATTAATCATTACTATCACTGCATCTCTGCGCTTGGCAACTAGGTCCGCGTATCTTTGACGCTGATCGCATCGTTAGCCACTTGGATCAAGTTCAGTATGTATACTAAACTCTCCACCTTGCAGTTCATTGATTTCCTTGCTACAGTTTTCTTATTTTACACCCTTTTTATCGACTAAGTCCGCTTTGGTTTACCAATGCTTCTCACTTCTTGCGACCATGCAGCCGCACTAATTAAGGATGGCGACAATGTCAACCGCAGTGCACTGACTCATCTGTTCGGACATGTGTACTGGATACTGTATTTTTGAGACAAGTGGAAATTTAGGTTTGTGCGACTTCATCGAGATATGATCAGAAACATTAAACTATAACTTCTCAATACCCTGATCGTTTTTCGCGCTATCACGCGATGCCGTTAAAAAATCGTTTAATTCATAGTAGATTAGGACCCAAAAATCTAAGATGTCTGTGGGTAACCGTTCTCGGAATCTAGGATTTGAGAAATGCACATCCAACGATCGTTTGAACTGCTGCACTGAGTTCGCTACCACCCTATGTTCTGGCAAGCCGATCCGGATATTTATCAATCGTCATTCTAAATACAGATGATAGGGAACTCACTTCAGATCTGGAACCACAAGCTTGTACTGGTGTCTGCGTGTGCTACAAGACATCCGCAAGTGGAGCAGTGGCTTCAGCATGTGAAAGTTACCTACATATATACTTCGATAGGAAGCGACCCTCGCAGTCAACTTGGGTGAATTAATCATCGTGTTTGTTGTAGTTTTCTGCTGACCGTAAGGATAACCGATACAGTCACTTGGGTCACGACGTAAGGCACTCGTACTGTTTATAACTAACCACTCGATTGTCAACCTGACAGTGACAAACTCACCGGCCTCATTTCTCATTCACCGAATTACTGCAGAACGTGGGGAAGCGTAGGCCGTTTCCCACACATTATGGTCAAGTATTGGTCAGACTCACACGCAACACCGACCAGTGTTGGCTGCTTTTAACCTGGTCGTTGGCTTTGTTCATTTCAATTTGCTTGCTCAAGTGTTCCTACAATATGTGTGAATATTGTACATTGCAGGTCCTATCAGGATCTCCCGTGAATTGTCAGCTGCCTTTTCGATCGCAAGTGACGTTCAGCAGGGTTTCTTCATGGAGCGTTGCCTTGCGGAATCTCACAATGGTGAAAAAGTAGCTGATCTAAATTGTGCGGACAATATCACCTTGCTGTGTGACGGTCGTAAGGTGGCTCAGTTAGCTTGGGATAAACTGTTAGAATCGTTTCAGTATGTTTCATGCGCTTTCCACTTTCCAAATCAGTGTTGTTACAGGGACGCCATTCGCTTGATGATCCCTTGATTCTTGACCACGAGAAGCAGGTATTCGGTCATTTCATCTATTATTCAGCTGCATTAGCGGTGGTGGGCGCGTAATGTATTGCTAAGGCTAGAATCGCATTTTTGAAACAAAGATACTTTTGGTGTCGGAAAGGGATTTTCCTCCATCTGAAAGGCCGTGTATACGAACTCACAGGGAGAGCCGTTTTCCTAGGGATTGGGATTTGGAGTTCTCGATCAAAGGATTTGAGGCACCTTCAAATCTCTGGTCATCATTGTCTGCACAGCGTTGCTGTTGTTGGATGGCGCCATCTAGTCAACAACGATTAACTATGTAGGCTAGTACTAATTGGTGATAACCAGGCTAATTCCTTGGTACAGCAAGTTACATTGAATAAATCACGTCAGCTTAGGAATTTACTGCATATACCCCTTCACCGTCTATCCAAGAGAGTCCGATTTTCTTTACCGGATGTAGTATGACGCATGGCTCTAGCTGGGAAAAGACGACTTGACAAGGGGAACTTAAATCACTAATGACTAAACTGGGCACTTTCAGTCCGTCTCGCCTTCCAGGCCGGACTTCACTCGACTCACCTTGTGGTTGGTGTAAGGCTTTTTAGAACCTAATCCGCAGTCAGCACCAGTGATACGTTTGTTGTCCCATAGACTGTATGTGTTATAGTATGTGATTTTACGTTGTGTGTGGGCTATCATTTTGGCGCAAAGTCTCAGGTAAGATATCTGGCCAATGCCACCTTATCTTGCATGCCGATCACGGGTCGACAATTCAATCAGCAAGATTACACTCCACATCTCGACGCACTGATGATGCCGCCTCGCATGGCGGTGAAACGTTTGCAAACAAATTTCGCAGCTCGGCGAACAAATGAGCAACTGAACGATAGCTTATGATTGTGTGTTGTTGGCGAGGTGTCTTCGCCTTGATCCTGAATATTTACTTAGGCCATTTAGTTTTTACACTATGTCCTTTATCTCTCCCTTTTGTCACTTTTCATTTCATAGGTTAGCGGTACGGTAGCGAAGCATCAGTTCAAATTACTGATGTACTTCTGCTGCTGATACGACTTGGGCTCCTCAAGTTGTATGCACTTTCTTGTCCTCATTTCCTAACTCTTTGCCCATAACTTCGTCATTATTATGACGGACCGACTGCAGTTAGCTAACCCTCAGCTTTGGTCAGACCATACCACTGTTTGTTTTATCACACACTGCACTCCTTCCCTTCCAGGTGTGTTGGAAGATGGTGACGACAACGATGTGCTAGTCAACGTCAACATGGTGGACGATGAAAAGGCGGAGAAAAATCGCGAAAATCTTCGGAAAACCGCTGGCTTGGCTGGTATTGAGGACGAAGAGAGTGAGGAGGTGCTGTTGGGCTTGCGAAAAAAGGGTGTTTTGAGCAAGTACGATGCTGAGATCCAGGGTATGCAAAAAACGCAATTCACTATCGGATCAGAGGGTTCCTACATGCCCGAATCGGAGAGGCTGTTGGCACAGTTGAAAGAGGAGCTTCGTGCTGGGAAGGTAGGCTACATCTTCGCTTTACACTCTGTGTCGTCCAGCCCTTCAGGAATTCAGCTGACTTAGACTTAATGTTCTCTACATTGCATATTTGAATCGCGTTTTCTTGTCTTGCACTCACTGCGCTCCGAAACAGTTCATAGTAAGAGGAAGCCTACTTTATGTGTGGAACCGAGATTTGTACGCCTAATTTCTGTGCTGTACAGATTTAGACACATCTAACCTAGCATAAAGCATCTACATAATGGATGAATGTATGGATTTCCAGTTGCCTTGGTTGCAACACGAAAAATCATTCGACCGCGTCGTCAGTTCCAAACTGCTTGTGACACTGAAGCGTCTTCGCATTATGGATCTGAGAATCGACTGGGGACTTTGGTGTATGTTGAAGACCCATGAGTTGAAAATGATCAGTGTTATTTCGGGATCACCATAGTGTTGTTCTACCTCATTTAACGCACCGGTTCATGAAAGGCTGCGAAAGACGGGTAAGTAATTTGCTCTCAATCGCTTCGACTTGAAGGTTGTACCGAGCATTTTGAAGAGCGATTTAACCGACCTGATGTCTACAAATTGTTTGCTCTTTTGTTTAAAGAACATGTCCTACGAATAATTAGATCCAATATGAGTTATTACTGCTGAAGCGCAATAAGGCATATGGCCTAAGCGACTTTTTACCATTACCAAAGGACGGTGGTTGTTTACTAATGACTGCTTCCACCGCTCTGTTCGACGGTATTTGGCGCAAGAAAGAACTGCCTTCCGGTTGGCGTTCGTCAAACGGTCTTCCCCACTTTCAAAAAAGAGGTCAAATACTTCCTGTAGAAAGCACCGTGGTATCAGTCTTGTCTTGATCTCCAAATTGCTTATGTAAATCCTACTGCGGCGACTCGCTACTTTTTGTGAGGAACTAGTCAGTAAAGCAGGTTGGTTTCCGCCTCAATAGACGATGTATCTATTGTATTTCGACAGGTGTTCGGACGGCACCATACTTGCAAACAGTCTACTATGATAGTCTTCCTTTACTTTAAGGCAACATTTGATTGGATTGGTCGTATATGCTTGTGGTGATGCTACGCTCTAAGAGATTTCCGTCAATTTTGAACTCCCACGGGAGTCTACTAGAAAACTCCCTGAGTTCCTTATGAATAGGGTTACTCTATCTCCCTTTTTAACTTCGTGATCGTGAATGATTGCATCGTACATTTTTCCAGTTTTGAGGTAGATCTTCAGCTAAGCAACTGGCTGTCAAATTCGGAGTACTTGAACGGTATAGTTTTCTGCGGATCAAACCTAGCCGCTATTCCAGTGCTGCCGAATAAACTGACGCTTAACGTTGCTCTTCGGCAGGTGAATTGCACCTTCAAAAGTACGTGATTCGGTCGAGGCGTCATGAAATTTTCACAGTTGTGGAATAACCGGTCGCAACTGTCGATTGGTTTACTCATTTAGTCAGCTGTATTAGCTCTTACTGTTGGATCAACTAGGTGCTTACCACACACACTGCCAAGGCTCGTATAGGTTTTCAACATCTCAGTGAGATATAACTTTAACAGCGAATGGAAGCGTTTATATACCTCCACGGTGCGATATGGTCCAGCGACCTATGCATTGTAACTAAAGATAGGTTAGTGGCTGCGGAGTGTTTTCCCTATCGGGTGATCATTACTGAAACCCACCTGTTGATGTTTCTAGAGAGACCCTCTGATGCCGCACCAGAGTGTCTGCTGAGCCGTAACTGTGTGTACATTGTTTGCCCATCGACTGTAGCTTACCTCAGTGTACATCGTTTGTTGCTGATGCACATACTTGGGAGAAACCGAGTGGCCAGCCGATAAATTGATTGTAAAGATTTGCCTGGCTGTCATGCCAAACTAGATTTTTGAGGCCGTCGCTTTCTGTATTTGTAGATCTTATTCGGCATAGCTAAACCCCCACAAGCGATTTTCGTGAAAATTCTAGCGAACACTCGGTGCGCTTTTTACGTTTCGGTTGCTGAGAGTTGAACGCCATCAGTGCACTTTAGCACAGTCTGGTGCGTCTTGCAATTTTGTATCATAGCTCAGTACAGCACTTTCGGTACACGTCGTCTGCAGCTTAAGCTGCAAGTTTAGTCTGCTGTCGATCATAAAGTCCCCTACGTTTCTTATTCTGAAAGAATGTGAATATGATCCTATTTCGTGGGACACCACATAACCCAACGGGCCGCAACCGCAATATCTACCTCCTCAACTCACTGTTGCTCCTAGGTGGTCATTGGAACAATGAAACAATGGTATAATACGGATACAAAAGCCAAGGCTCGACAAGTCCCGTCGGATGATTTATGGGAATAACGTTATTTCAACGAAGTTACACAAACGTGAAAAACACTTATGGACTCACCAAATTATCCACGTTAACACATAGGTATATCCGTCTACCCTGATTTCGTAGGGTTGGTGAGCACAATGTTTATCTGCGTCTTGTCGTCACTCAGTGAATAGCAATCAGTTCAAGTAATGTAAATGATTTGACGCATCGCCGAGTCGTGTTTTAAAAATGGGTAGCGTGGGTGCGGAAATGACAAAAGTCGAAAGAGAGTTCCAGGGCTGGCAAACTCGAAGGGAAAAATAATTCCGGCGGCTCTCAAGCCGACTGTGTTTGGTGGCAAGTTTCAATTTATGACCCCTCAATTCTGTGTTGCAGCTAACCTTCAGGAGGTGACGGTAAACGTGACTAGGGTTTTTCAAAATCTGGAACGCCAGGATAAGGTCACCACGTAGACGGTGATATCTTTCGCTGTACATCCTTAGGGCTTTCAGTCACCTATGGTACTGCAGGTGGGAGAAACCCTTCACATTTTTCTTTGCCCGTCGCTGTGCAGTATCCAGTGCAACCAGGTCGCTTTTTAACCAGAGTTGCCAAGCCTCGATCGCGTACTCTACATGAGGTCTCACTCATTGAGCTTTTGGAGGAAGATGGAACTTCCCGAACGCCCTCCGTAACAGACCAACGTGTTGGTTCTCGGTTTTGGACACTTTCAAAGACTGCGCCGAACGGCCGAGGTCGTCTTGGATTACCATCCCAAGGTCTCGCTCTTGTGAGGCGGTGTTCAGCATATGGTCTCCAAGCTTATATGCGTACGTGGGCTTGTGGCGGACTGGCACGGTTTTGCACTAGTCCGTGTTGAACGGAAGTACCTTTAACTTTGACCATTTAAAAGCGCAGTCTGTCTCGTTGCAACGTAACGTGATCTTCTTGACAGTCCATTGCCCGCCATCTCTTGATGTCATCGGCAGAAAGCAGGAAATTTGACTTGATGACACTCGCAAGGTCGTTAATGAAGGACAAGAATAACTGCGGCCCCAGCACCGACCCTTGTGAAACATCGCAGTCCACATCAATTGGATCAGAAAATAAACCTCGAACTTGAACCTGAAGGCGCCGCTGAAAGAGAAAGTCTTTGGTTCATCCAAGGATACGGTTTTCAACTCCGTATGCTTGCAGCTTTTGGAGAAGGATGCGATGATCTATGCGCTCGAATGCATTGGGAAAGTCTAGGTAGATGACATCAATGCCAGTCCCACTGTCGGCTTTCACAATCTAACTGTCACGTACAAGCAGTAGGTTGGTAGTACATTACCGATGCCGACGGAATCCGTGTTGCTCCGTTGCTTTGATGTTAGACCTTTCTAAGTAGCCCATTACAGCCTCAGCTATGATTGATTCCATCACCTTAGAGCGCACCGGGAAGAGAGTCACTGGGTGATAGTTGGCTGGCTCTGAACGGCTACCACTTTTGAAAATCGGGGTAATGATGCCTTGCTTCCACATGCTAGGGACTTGCTGTGCGTCCAGACATTTTTGGAAGAATCTCGTTAGTGGTTCAGCTATCCTCGTAGCTGCCACTTGCAGGGCTTTCAGAGGAATGTTGTCAACTCTGGGGGAACTATGGGTGCGAAACGACAGCAGTTTTCTCAAAATGGTCGCCGAACTAAACGTGGCGTGTGTAAACACTGGCATCTGGGAGAATGGGACAGGTATGTTACAAATGCTGGTGGCAAGTCGGAAAACTGGGGCATATTGTAGCCGTAGAACGTTGGCTGCATCCTCGGTGGTTTGAGCACATCCATCCGCTGATATTAGTGGGGAAATACCACGTTTCACATTCCTGAGGCTGTTCACATGTCTGTACAGAAGCCTTTTGTTAACACACAACTTTTCCGCTAGTCTCTGCTGTTGTCTTAATTTGTCCTCGCGCACAAGTGTGGTACAGTGATTACGATGCACAAGATAGTTATTCCAGGTGTCAGCGCTACGGTTCGCTCTATACACATGCCGCGTAGCGTCTCTTACTGTCATAGGTTTTGTGGGTTCTACTCCGAATGAATGATTGTGCCTTGCAGAACGAAGGAGCTTGTTGACCTATGCAGATTTAATCAGATCACTGAACTTGCCAGTAAAATCCAACAAAGCGCCGTCAATGGAACAGTCGTCCGGAAACTCTCAGCTGTCATCTCCCACAAGTGTTGCCGATATGTCGTAGTTGGTAATTGTTCGAAACAAGTTAGTATGTTCTTGTGAATACTCCGCATAACACACGAAGTCGTAACTTATGGTTACATGGTCACTTCGCCCCAGAGGGCTCTCCAGCTTTGGTTTCTGAATCATGGGCTCTTCCTTCGTGAGCACTAAATCAAGCACCGATGGTTTACTTCCGGCTCAGAATTGGGTGTGTGAACTGACATGGCTGAAGAGCGGAATGCTTGCACTATAAGCTTGTAGGTCGGCCTTAAACTGCTCGTTTGGGGATGCCGGAACTTCTAACTCATGAAGATTGAAGTCACCTGAGATAAGAACATGTCTGTATCGTCCTTGTAGGACCCCTTCTAAGGTTTGCACTGCAGGTCGTTGCGGTGGTGTAACATTACCCCCTTCCTTTGCTAGGTCGATCGTTTCGGAGAAGGGACTTCTGCATCGGTAATTGCTGAGTACAACCAGGTTTCCGTAAGGAGTTTAAAGTCCCAAGATGTGACGCTTGACGTAGCTGTAGTTCTTCAAGCTTGTTCAGGAGACCTTGTGCATTTAGTCTACATGCAGGAAAGTTTCTCTATTTTAGTAATGAATCCTGGGATGGGTGTTTGGGATAAAATGTTGTGCCGACCGCTAAAACGTCGGTAACTAATCGTTTTTTAGGTGGGGAGGATGACAAACTCATCTGTGTCCGATTCATGGATCCTACCATTCCCTCTGTTTCTCCCTTTGTATGTAATGTATGGGGTCTGTTTGCCAGTTTCGTTGGTTAGTTGATTGAAGTTATCCCAACTATTGTCGGTAAGGGGTCTGACTAAGTGGCTGCTCTCATGTGTTTGCTTAGCAGATGCTGCTTTGATACGGAGCTCGGAGGAAAGGCTGCTGCGGCCCGCATGCCATCCCTCCACTACCATTGCTGACATTTTTCTAGATAGAAGGACCACTTTCACAATCCTCGGGCCATATCTCTTGTAGTTGCGATCGGCGCAGCCTGGAGATTGATTGCGCTATGACATTTCCCTGGAAGAGGGTCTCGCGAATGTACCGCCATTGCCCCTGATTGTGAGTAGCCGCTTCGCGCTCATCATGACTTCTAGCCTCGAGAACACCGTGTACAAGGATGGTTCTGATTACGAATTCCTTCCGGTTTTTGTCCAAGTAGTACTTCGCCTGTCTACGCTGGCTCCACGTAATATGCGGGAATAGGCGGATGGAACATGACCCATTCCGGAGGCGAGCTGTCGATAACAGAACAGTTTCTGCTTCATTGGCAGGTCAGCACAGCTAGGTTCACCGTATTGCTGTGAGTTTGGGTTAGGGGTAACGCGTGTCGAATGTATGGGCTTAGTTACAAAATCTTAAGTGTCACATATGGAGTTCCACTGGTTCACTTCCTCGAGTTGTTTTCTTTAAAAAAAATTTACCATCGATTCTGGAACGTTGCTGCAGATTACCGCTGATATACTACGTGCAACTCTGATTGAGTTCAAGCGACCAGCTGGTCTGTAAACTGTCCGTTGAGGCTGTTTGGATACAGCTTCGTCTTCTTCATTTTCTATGGGTCCAGTGGGAGTGGCCGAAGATCTAGGTTTCCGGTCACCTTTGGCAGCAACCAAGTTACAGTCACCACTGGTGTCGAAGCCCTTCTAAATTTTCGGAATCGTTTAGGGAGTGGGCGAGGCCCTGATCGTGCTCATTGCAAGCGGACTGGCGGTGGTTGGTTCGGGCATATTTGAGCAACTTGTGTTATCCACGTTTACAGCCACAGATGATACATTTTTAGCGCGCTGCCTAGCCTTCTTCCGCAGTTGTAATGCGGTGCTGGATGGGAATGACTGGGATTTACTCTCTGTCACGTTTTCTACAAATGAATCTCTTTTGCTGCTCCTCATTTGTTCAAACATTGCCACTAGTCTTTCGTACTTTGCGATAACACATGTACAATCTTTACCAGTGGGATGACTTTACATACTGAACAGAACCACAGTGAATCTGGTTTACTATTGTGTAGCTTCAACTGGTTCCCTGTAAGTTTGGAACATATGCGATGGAACTTGCCTTGGCAAATCTGCAGCTTTGGTGGATCTCTTTTGCATCAGGTGTTTATTTCTCAGGTGTCTTCCAATAACTGCATTATCACAGTGTAACCACCACTCAATGTCTCTGAATTTCGCCAAACTCCCGTGTTGTTTTTTTGCTAGCACTCACTTCCGGATACGGAGCTTCGTGTGGCCTCGGAATACTACTCGCCTGAAGAATTAAAGGCAAAGTTTAAAAAGCGTACTCGTCGGGTGAAAAGGTGCACTCGAATAGTACTCACAGCCGACGACCTCATGGACAACGAGTCTCTCACCACCGTACCACAGGCAGCAAGCACATTTAACCTGGAAAATTTCACCTCCAGACAAAGCAAAACGAATTTAATTGAACAAACCATCTTTGCACCCAGCACTTCCTATGGTGAGTATACTAACATCAGTCGCATTTTGTTTACAGTACTGACGGCACTTGGCAGTTAGCGCAGATGTTACCATTTGCAACAAACCATTCATTTTATTGTTGGGTTTCGGAGTACTCACTGTGTGTTTGGATTGTGACACGTATTCACAAATTGAAGTGCAAATTTCCTTATTTAAATCGCAGTTTGTTACCCTTGTTTGAAGAGCGCACTCGTGGCGTGCAATGCTGTTGCTGAAAATACTATCCTTTTACCTTTCGCTTCTGGACACTACTTTATTGCCCTGTTACCCTTCTAACTGAGCTGCTTTGCCTATATTATAGCTATGGTTTCCCGTACCCATTGAGGAGGGTTGCTTTGCTTGAGGTAACGAGTGGTAGCGATGTCTTGGGGAGGTGAACCAAATGGTTGAGGTTCACACAGTTGTTCCCTAAAGCATTGTGAATTGAAGGTAACATAAGCATTATGGACAGTTTACTTTGCTGGCAACGAATGAACGCCAATCTGAGTAGTTAACGTTCGCATTTGAGCTTCTGAAATACTTGCTGACTACTCATGTTCTTCTAACCCGCCCCAATTCTCCCTTTGTAAAAGTTCCAGCTTCACCAGACATCTCTTCCGCACCTATCGAAGATGACGATGAATTGCGCAACGAGATAGAACAAACTATTAATCGCGTTGTCAAAGCAAAATCAGCAGTTTACGTTAAGCCAGAAGACGTAAGTTCAACTTTATCTATTTGTGCAGTTTACAATGCGCTTTTATTATTTTATATTCGTGGTGTCATAATCAATATCCACTGAGTCTGGAGATAGGATTAGAGACGCTTTGGTGATTGTTCCCCTAATCGGCCATTGCATATCTTCACCAACACTGGCACGGAATCTTTACCGTACCGCTCTACGTATCACATCACGCATCTGCCTATGCACTGCGACCGCAAACGCCGGAGTAAACTATTTCGACGCGAATCAGGCTGGTTCGTTGCGCTTTCCGATTTGTGCTTCCAATAAGTCAACTTCTCTTGTATCCTCACTCGCTGTATATCTCACCCATCGTCATGCCAGTCATCAAGTTTAAGGAAGTTCTATTTCTTGGTACCTTTTGCACTAACTGCATCGCAACGCAAACAGAGAACCAATACCCATATGTGCGACCCTCATTGCTCCAGTCCGTTTGAGTGCTGTGGCATTCATGTTTCATAAACAAGACGGCTCACCTGCACCTGACCATTACATTCTGTATTGACATACGCATGCATCCACATTTTCAAGTGGGCTTTAGTCACCTGTAGGCACACAGCAAAAACCACTGCATCTCGTGTTTTCCAGACATAAGCTGGCTAGGCGGCGTCGGCTATGTCGGTCATTTACATTGGCGCCACTGTTCCCTACTACCTGTTAAGATGAAATTAGATAGAATCAGCACTATTCCTGTCTGGATGATTCGTTTAGCTCCTCTAAATATGTCTGCGGAACCATGCATACCACACTATTCGTTAGCTGGAGGAGAGACGAACTCAACGTTCTTTCCATAGGGGGTTGATAGGGGTTTATAACATTTCCCCACGGATCCAAACCATGTGAAGCAGCAGTTCACGGGTTATGCGGTAAGCTTGCTTGATATATGACACGACTGCCGGGGATTTCATTCAACACTTAAGGATCGAAACCCACCGCCACAGATCGTGGACACGCTGTCCAGCTAGGTGCATACCCGCCAAAACTCATCTTTATTTATCCGTGGTCTTACATGTCTTATTTAATACCAATAGAATCGTACGCAAACTGTGGGATACCTTCTAAGGAGCCTCTAATCTACACCAGTTGCATTATCACATTTCTTTGAAGTCGCACTCCCTATCTGATTTTGTTTATCAACGCTTTGTTGGTAATGCCATCGAGTCAGACCCAAACCGGACTTAATGGGCGATCTGGATTACTGATTGTTAATGTACTATCTGCTTCTGCGTTTTTCATCGTCTCTAAATCTCCTCATCCTTATCAGCTCTAAACTAAGCCGTTTTCATCAGTCTTATTCGATTTCAAATTCCAACGGCATCAAGGGGTCTCTTCAACCTACCCGTTGCGCTTGTCCGTAGCCGAAAGGACAAGGCGTCTGTCTTGAACCCCGGAGGTCGCGGAATCCAGACTGAGTAGGAGACCAGACGACCCGCACAGTATCTTTAGCCCACGCACTACTAGTGGTGGTTGCGTAGCAGCGAAGCCTCGGTACGGCCTACCGGCGTAATGCTGATGCAATTTTTATATAGTTGTTAGCGTGCGACAAATTTCCTATCTCCATACTTGATTGAAGCCGATAAGGGTGCACTACATTTGCGTTGTAACGCAGCTGCAGCAACAGGATCAGAATTCCATGGGCAAGTTTGGGCACTTTGCGGCTCGGGTGACCATCATCATCATCATCCATCGACAACAGTGCACCAGTAGTTTCCCTGATGCTTCGCTAATGTACAGCCTTAATGGCCTAGGTAAAATGACAAATCATAAGTTTAGCGAGAAAAAATTCTAGTGTGAAATGTCCTAGGTTGTTGCTCGACACTTATATGCAATAAACACTCACCATCATCTTTGCGTCTGTACCTCACCACAACTATTCCACCCAGCTAAGATTCTGCATTCACGTTTTCTGCGACTAGAACAAGATCCGAACTAGTAGCACTGCGAATTAGCATGTTAAGCTTATGGCAGAAAATGCTCTTGACAGAGTCAGGAGTACAGTAAGTTCGGTTGTATGCGACAACCGCAAATCAAACAAAACTAACGTCATCCTGCGCACTGACGTTTGTAGAAATCATGAAGCAGCTTGCAAGTAAACGGCCGCTGAATGGAATCTAATAATTAATAATTCAGACCTGGAAATGTGGACGATGCCCATTCCAGCTTGACTTGTTTCACTCATAAACATCTCCGGGTGCGTGTAATTAATGTCGGGGGAATAAGGTAGGTGTAGTTATGTGGAGATGGTTCATCGTAATCAACCCTCAGCCAAGCAGGTTCCTACACATCTGGAAAGCATCAAACCGCCGTTTCGACCTTTTGGGTCTCGTCAGTGGTCGCGTTCCTCGGACCCCTTCTGCGTTTTGACCCCATAACTTCTAGATGCCAACAGCCATAGGTGACGGCGGCAGAATTGCGTGACTGATAGTTTACTGCGATATAGTGCAGCTCGTACTCCACTGTCATGCCACTTACGAACTCTGCAGAGGACAGGATTGGCCCTAGGGCTACGGCTGCTCGTAGCGACTGTGTACGACACAGCACTTAAAAGCCGTACGGACGAATGTCCGACTACTCATGAATGGTGGAGATTTTAAGTTTTATGTGAATGTGGTTCATCGCAATCGTCTCTCATCGAGAAAGCTGCTGATGGCTAGTGCTCATGAAGTAGAGGTCAGTGACACTGGGGATCACCGAATATTGTCCCAATTCGGCAGTCTTCCCAGTCCCTAATAAGGAGCAAGGGGCTCCTGCGTTTAACCAGGACTAATACACAAAGCTTTTGTCTCCTCCTGCATCGGTCGCCGCACAATTCCAAAATTATCACCTTATTTACAGCATATGGCAGGGCGAACAAGTGAATTTGTTCATTTTTATCCTTCTATAACTTTACTGTAGTCCTAAGTGTGACAGCATCCACATTTCTACTGTGGCAACGAAGTGTTAGTCCGCGATATTGTTGCATTCCAGCTACTGTTGTTTTATACATCCATAAATTTAAAACGACCCTTCAGTGTGATAAGCGAGAAACCGGAACAGTCAACTTTTGACTGAATGACCGCTCGCACAGCGACCACATAGACCCTGGTGAGAACTTTTTTGCTTCGCGTTTAATAAACTCATGAATCTAGCGGCATAGTCTTGGGATTCATTGTGTTGTCAATCTGAAATATCCCACGAAAAGCCACAATCTTGGATCTTACCGGTGGAAGAATTTAGCGATATACTGTGCCATATCGATAGTGTGTTGTTTACTTGTCAAATAGCCGTTAATTGGAACCTTGCACGAGTTCCGCTTTTCGTAGGGCAACAAAATACCTACTAGTGAGTGAGTAAAAATGAAGCTAATTGCGACGTAGTGCAGAGCCAAATTTTTCTAAGGCGAAATTCAAACTAAAAGCACCTGATGTCAGCTATTCCGTTCCCTCTGCGTTCTCGTCCTTCGCAAACTTTCCATCCCGGCCAGAATCAGAGCTCGACAACAAACAAGTAACAAACAACAACAGCAGTACATCAGCCGTTTGAACTGATGCTTCACTGATATACAGCCATGATGAACTATGAAATGAAGAATAATAAGAGGGAGAGAAGGGGGACTTACCTGAAAACCTTAATGCCCTAAGCAAACATTCAGGGCCAAGGCGCCTACACATTGTGTAGACAACATACCGTCGCAAACAGCTGGCTATCGTGCAACGATAAGGCGGCATCGGCGAGACAGCTTCCTTGCTGCTTTCACTGCCACGCGTCATAATCAGTCATTACCCCGCAGATAACTCAGCACCAAACACAATTTAAACAGGCAATCCGATTAGTAGACGGCAGCAGACGCGCCACTGGTGTCTACTGCGAGCCATGTCCTGTAAAGTCTCGAGCCAAGCACGAGGCGAGTCACGTGGACTCCGTCTCAGAAGACAAGACGGACCAACGGCACCCAGTTTGGTCGTCAGTGTCTTCATTTTCCGCTGGCAAGTCAACTTCTGTCCACCTCGAGCTTTGCGCCACCCTACACCTGGCAGTCTAAACAAGGCCCTCCTAGGTAAGCGGTGACCTGGCATACGTAACACGTGCCCGAGTCAAGGCAACTTATTCAGTGCTATCTGTTGTTCTAGGGAGCTAGCATGATTACCACTACCTAGCACTCGCTTACGCATATTATCGTTGCGGACACGCTGGTGCCATCCGACACCAGCAATGCCTCGCAGACGATGATGATCAAAGACTTGAAGGCGCCTCAGATCTTCAGACCGAAGGGGGCAAGTCTCACTACCATAGAGCAGAACGGCCCTCACTGTGGCCTTGTATACACGGTCTTCCAAGCGGAGGGAAACTCCCTTCTGTCGCCAACGATGCCGCAGGTTCAAAAAGGCAGCTCTGGCCTTTGCAATGCGCGAGCTGACGTCAGTTTCTATGCGCCCATCATTACTGATGCAGCTATCCAGATAAGTGAATTGATCAATCACCTCGAGTTCCTCGTTAGCAAGCGTCAAGGGGTCATAAAGTGGTTGGTGGTCCTGCAGCAACACTTTGCACTTTGAAGGTGCGAAGCGCATACCAAATAATGGGACCACTCTAGACAGGGTATTCAGCGTTGATTTTGCCGCCGCAACATCATCGAAAAGCAAGACGATATCGTCCGCATAACCATGATCAACTAATCTTTCATGAGGCTGCACTTTAACGCCTACATGGTGAGATTCCGCAAGGAAACACTCCATGATAGAATCCACGGCGAAACCGGACAAAAATGGGGAAATTGGATAACCCTGACGAACGCCACTTGTGGTCGGAGAGCTATCCGATAGGACACCATAGACCCTGACGCGGCCTGTAGTGTTCGTGTATAGAGTACTTAGGATGTTCACATATTTCGTAGGAACACCTTTCTGCGCAAGTATTTTGAACAGAATGCATCGATGGACTGAATCGAGGAACACAGCTATTGTCGGTCTGCAGTATGCGTGGCGCTGCACTAGCAC